TCGTAGTTATTTCTCGCATCCAAGATATAACTTTTTTCGTTCGCATTTAAAGCCATCATAAAAGATCGTTGAAAGAGGAAGAATTGAAAGTGGAAACGAGAATAAACGGAAAGCTTAAAGGGAAGATTCGACGCGAGAGAATAGGATCGAGCAGACGTCTGTAACGACTGCACCCTTCCTATCTAACTGAGCTTCCGTTTTCACTTCCTTTTACAACCCCTCCAATACATGCATGTATTTACAGTGGATGCGTGCGCATTGCACGCGTTTCTGTTTTTCTACTTCTGTTATCGAGATTCCTTCTTGTCTTTATTATCATCCATCCATTTTTCCTTTATATTTCTTTTCGATCTCTATAATTTTCTATCTTCAATCTTTAAAATTATAATCTTTAAGAGATTTATAAATTCTATCATAATAAAATATAAGAACAAAATAATCGGGCAAAGATTAAATCAGGCAATAACCGATAAAATAAATAAAAATAATTTCGTGAAATTCGTGTTGAAATAAATAATCGCCGGAAAATTAAATTAAATAAATTAGAAAATATGCCTAAAATATTAGTATATTTATAAAATACTTTTTTTTTTTTGAATAAACATGATATATAAAAATATTAATTGAATTATTAATTTATAACTTAAGTTAAATGAAGCGAGGCGAACACAAAATAAAACAGTAATTTGATGAACATTTCATTTTATTTCGCTTATTTCGCTTCGTTAACATAAACTTTAATTGTTTTAATAAATAAGTCTCAACATTTTTGCACAGTTTTTAACTTTTGTGTTTATTTTAGTCTCTAAATATGTATTTAATCATTTTTAAAAGTATAATCATAAATGTATTAATATATTTTATATAATATATATAATTATATATATAATAATATATATAATTATATATATAATAATATATATAATTATATAAAAATATATTAATACATTTATGATTATACTTTATATCATAATTGTATATTATAATATTGATGTATATATTTTAATCTTTTTAAGCGAGGAGAATCGATATATCCGCTTTCAATAATAATTTAATCATTGAATTTAGAGAAATATATTTACAATATTTACATAGACAGCATACATAATATAGCATATATATATATATATATATAT